ACGTGGTCCTTCGGATCCGTGGTCCCGTCATATGTGATATGCGACGGTATTTTAACCGTGGGTACGCGCTCTTCTAGTATCCATTGCTCGAATGGTGAACTAGCGGGAAGCATAATGGCCTTGCCCTTGTTCCTGGCCGAAGGGACCGCGCTCCGCCCTCTCAGAGAGGTAGGAGTGGTTTTCGTCCCTGGCTGGGAAGTCTGGGCCTCGGCTGCAGGGAACGTGAGGCGACTACGCACGCTCGGTTCCTGGCCGCCGAGTCGGTCAAGGACGCTTCTGCGAGCAGTCTCAGGTTCCCGGCGAGCAGATTCTGGCCGAGAAGCTGAGCTGCTGCTCTTATGCGCTGCTGGTCTTGAGGATGAGGATCCTTTAAATAATTGAGAGTTCTTCTTCCTCTGTTTTTCATTTTTCCAAGAATCCTCCTCCCACTCTTCCAGTTCCCGGAAGGAAGGAAGCTTCCCACCGTCATGGTCTAACTTCCTCCGCTGATGCCGGGTATGCGGAGGAGTTCGATCACGAGGCGGTGGCATATTCTGTGCCCTCATTGCCTCCATGAGTACTGCCAGCGCTCTTGCCACCTCTTCCGAACTGGGCCCCGTCAAAGGGGTCTCCGGCCGAGTGTGGGCATGAGGCCGTGCAGCCGATGGTTGGCTTCGGGACACTGAATATGTCCTATGATCAGACTGACCCCTGCTAGACCGAGAGTGGTCCGGCCTATATTGAGAGTCATGCATTATAGGAGATAGGGAATCCTCCTTGTGTGATCCTCCCCCCGAGCCGGCACCCTTGGGAGAGTTCCGGTCCGGCGAGGGCGATGGTGTAGGGGTTTTAGGCTTTTCGCCCGCTCCTTGACGGAGGCTTTTGCTCTTGCGGTTCTTAGCCATGGCTGCTAAGACAATTGCAAGATGATCTTGGTTAGGAATTTGGCTTAAAGATTTTTGAAAGTCTTCCCCACAGACGGCGCCAAATTGTTTCGGTTGAAAACAATGGGACCTTGCCGAAGGTCCACTAAAATGGAGAAGACTGGATTCGATCCAAGCTGTGTTGGGCCGAAGGTTTCCTGCACAGTGAACACACGTAAACTAGCCTCGGGGGTGTTTCCGAGGAAGGCCCCTCCGATGCTAAAGTCAGTACAATGTGTAAAAAGGAAGACACTATGCAAGAGAGTTTGTAGCTTGAGGCTTTTTTGGAGTATTTCTCAATGCAAGAATGAGCATATGAATTGCAATAATCCGTGTATGAGATAATGCATGTGATGTTGTGTCTGATCTCGTATATGATGTTATGAGATGTCGTTGTGTCTGATGTAAGAATATGACTCTCCCCTTGAATGTGTTAATATGAGGGCTTTTATACCTCATCATACTTGGAGAGGTTGGGCTTTAGCCCAATTGGCTTACTTTGTGGGCTGACTTTTGACTTTTGAGCAATTGGAGAGTTGAACCTTGACCTTGGGCTTTTAATTGGATCATTTAGTGCCCAGGCCCAATTTTGACTAAATTGGACCCAAACAATAATGATGAGGTTGAATAGACCAGCCGAAGGTATCAATGAACAGAGCAGCCCTTCATCAAGCTCAAAGAGCCAATGACACAGCCAGTCTAAATGAAGAACCAAGCAGCCCCTACGGTTGGTCTTTGAGAATTAACAAAGCATCACACAGCCGGGTACAATTGAGGCACAAGGCAGCCCTGCAGGCGGACTTAATTGGTGAGCAAAGCTGCCCTTGCAGCCGGGATAAATGGATGAGAAGTTGAGCCATGGCAACCACTTAATTGAGGCACCGTTCATAGCTCTGATCTGACCGGCTGCCACCGTTGCTAGCTCTGACCGGCTGCTATAATAAGAGTTGGCATACTCCCCGTTTGTGTATGCTAACGCAAGAAAAAGACTTGGCCGCTTGTGTATGTTAACACAAGAAAATAGCTTGGCCGCTTGTGTATGTTACCACAAGAAAATAGTTTGGCCTTGAAGTGTCGCATGAAGAAATGCAACTACTCTCGAATGCCGATTGAGTTCCTTCTTGATGAAAATTCCAATGTCAGACGGGTATGGGAGCTGAAATTAATGGAGTTGATCAAGAGCCTTGCGTAGTGGAGTAGTTGGTCCACACTACACTCCACCAAAGCTTATAATTCAATTTCACCAAAGTGTAGAATTCAAGCTATACTTCTCATAATGTTTTTTCATCATCAATTACCATTATAATTGACTCTAATATGCCGCTTGGGCTATTTTTCCCACACATGATAACTGAAATGTAAACTATCAAGTTTAATAAAATTAACTTGAGCCGGCTTTTGATAAAGAAAACAGCCCTGCAACCGGCTTATTTGACGAGCAGAGATGCCCCTGCTGCCACCATTGATAGTGATCACCGGCTGACACCATTGGAGCAAAGCTAACCTTATGCCGCCTGCATTACATGATGACTATTGTTAAAACAGAACTGCGGGAACAAAAACAGTAAGAACAAAGTTACCGAAAATTAGACTGAGTCGCGGACTATGTCGCTCTCTTTAGAACATTCACGGCACTGCCCTGAAAATGTGCAAGCAGTTCGTACTAAACCGGATGTTCCCCAGGATAAAACAGCCTTTCTCTATTGTAATTATACCGGTGGAACTGCACAAAACCACCGGGCAACTAAACACCAAAAAGAAAAGAAACTGCTCGAGGGTTTTTTTTTTTTGTGAGGAAAAATAGAGAGGAGAAGAAGATTGCTTTCTGTTTTTTTTTTTTGTATCTTAAAAACAGGAAATCAACACGCCTTTTATAGGCAAAATTGCAACGTAACTGCTGTTGTTTAATTAGGCACTAATCACGCAATTAAAACGGTCATAAGTTGAACGTTCAAAATGGTTACAGAAGATTAATGCGTGGCAAAACGTTTAGCAAAAAATCAGTGAAAACGTTTGCATGATTAACGCTCCATTAATCAGTTTTGAAAAAACGGTCAAATGTAATCAGTCAAAAACGTTTAGCAAAAATCAAGGAACTAATCACGCAATTAGCCTTGTCCAAAAAATAAGTTTATTTAATAAACCCGACCCGACCCGACCCGGCCCGGCGCGCGTGTGATAGATGGTTTACCATATAGGTCCTCCCTCTCCACAAAATGTGGGTAGCCCAAGGGCCACACCCCTTTAGCCCACTCTCTATATTATAAAGAGAGTAAAACTCTCATTTCCCACCAATATAGGACTTTGAGTTTTTTCACAAAATTCACACACTACACACTTGTTGTTCCAACAACTATGCATTATGGGGTTCGTGAGGCTGCTATATTAGTTGCAAGGCCGGTTGTATCAATCAGGCATCCACTTAAATGCCGCCTGAGTTATTGCTAATCATGGAGCTCACAAATTACCTCAAACGGAGAAAAGCCGCCTATGTTAATAGGGAGATTGGTATATAGTGCCGATTGTCCTATTGCAAGCAAAACCAACTGTTACTTGCACAGTGTCGGACACCATAGTAAAAAGCAAGCCGCTCAATTTTAAAAATGAAAAAAACGATGAATCTCTCACTCCACTAGTTAATGAGCTAGTGAACTTTAGTGAATAAAATTAATGACCAGGCTAACTGTCAAAAACTTGGAAGTATGGAAGTGAATGTCACTTGCCGCATGTACTTCCACTAATTACAAGAGTTTACTCTTAAAAATTTATTGTATTATATTATGTATAATACAATTAGTAACATTCATATACATATATATTTGTTAATATATATGATGTTGATAGTATCAAACTATCAATCATGAATAGCATGCGGCCATGATGTTGATAGTACCAAACTATCAATCATAAATAGCATGCGGCCGACTCATTGAATGAGTTCGTTTAAAATAGTGGAGTTGGCCAATTTAGCCGTCTCTCCCCTAATAAAATTTAGATTAAACGGCATTTCCCTTTAACCTTCAAATATGCATAACTTAGTCTGACAGGCCTTTTTGGCTGCCTGACTCTCAACATTCAACCTCACGACGCCTGATGTACTTGACATCCGGCCTCATGATGCCTGCTGCCTCCCAAAGGAGGCTCCCCTCTTGAGTCGGCGCCAAATGTTTTGGGGTTTTTTGTACGTACCCGAGTGGAGGGCATTGGGATATGTGCCTCTTAGGTTATTTAACCTAAATAGATTGGCTTTCCACCGTTTTACGGTTTCTAGGGTTGTGGACTTGGAGCCCATTTTCACCCTTCTATCATTGAGTGACACGTGTCATGCTCTAATTGGTTCATTGAGCGCTGAGCTTGCGGACACGTGTCGAGGTGGCATTGGTCCACATATATAGGGGGTATTTTTACCCCCAAACAAAAGCCATACGGCATCTACAATAATAAGGATCTGTAAACCACAGATTTAGAGAAAATATCATAACTTTTACGATCAAAATCATAAATAATTTGCATATTTGGCATAGCTCATACTCCACCGCTTCAAGTTTGACGCGAGCAATGATTTTCGATGTCTTTGCATCTTTCCAAGTTGAGACCTCCGCAATCTACGCTGATGTTTTGATCGACCGGTTGATGACAAATCCCAGACTCATAGGAATCCAAATCACCTTCCCAATTATTATAAGAACCCTAAAAATAAAATTCTCATCCATAGATGAGAATCAAAATCCCAGAAAATTGGGAAAAACTCTCACAGATGGAGAGAACAAAACAAAACAAATAAACCAAAACGTAAAACAAAACAAAAAAACTAAATTGAATTAAAGAAATTAGACTATTTCTGGCCTAAACGACCAAGAAAATTAAAACCCCAGAAGAGAGAGGAGAGAGAAGAGAGAAAAAGGGGCGGCCGAAACAATCCGATTTATTTACTCACACAACTTTATGCATTTATTTTTGTGGCACTTTATTATTTCACTTCTATTATTTTAAAAAATACAAACAAAAATATTATAAAGTAAGATGAGATATATTTACATGGATGTGGAGTTGGCTTGATGGTAGCACTCCCATCTCGTAGCCTCGAGGTTACAGAAAAAAAAGATATATTTACCGATTTATCTAATACTTTCTTAGATGAAGTTGGATTTTCCCATTTCAAAGTAGACCCACATTAATTCATCCTTTTTTACGTTTTTTTTGGGAGTTTGAGAGGAATCTTTGTAGTTGGTATAAAACTATAAACTATAGTTTATCTTAAGTTAGTGTCGTGTTTGGTATGCTCCTTCCTATTCTGTTCTCTCTCTTTTGTTCGTGCACAAACACTACCCAGCAAACTCAATCAAGGTACTTTGATGTTTCAATTTTCTTCATTCTCTATTTATTTTATCTTCTAATTTCATTATTAATGTTGGGATTTAATAAATTTTTCATCTTTTATTTCCAACTGTTTGTATCATATTGCTCAACCCTTAATGATTTTTATTCTAATAATCTTGTACTCAATCTGAAATTGTGTTTCCCCATTATCAAGAAGTGATTTTTAACTTAATATCTGCTAATTGGGTATTAAATTTGATTACTTGGGCAATTTAATTTCAATACAAAAATCTGATTCTTGTAATATTTGAACATTTTTTTGCCAGAAACATAGAAGATTGTATTGTTATGCAAAGTTCAATTTGATTTGTTCGTAGTTTTGAACTTAGATTGTATTAGAAGAATTGCAAGAAAACTAGTGTATATCTCAAAGTCTAACTATTACAAATGGCTGAAGAAGAGGAGAAGAAAACTCTTATTGAAATACTAGAGGAGAATAACCCAATTGATATAGTTAAGTACATAAATTTTGTGCGTGCACCTGAATGTGGTGCAATAGCAACTTTCTCTGGCACAACGCGTGATACATTTGATGGCAAAGCCGTTGTAGAGCTGAGGTACGAGGCGTATGTACCAATGGCAATACGGTGTATTAAGGCCATATGTACTTCAGCTCGAGAGATGTGGAGTCTTAATTTGATTGCTGTGGCTCACTGTCTTGGTCCTGTATCTGTTGGTGAGACTAGTATATTTATAGCCACGTCGTCTGTTCATAGGGATGATGCATTGGATGCTTGTAAGTATTTTGATTGATGAACTTAAGGCGTCTGTGCCAATTTGGAAGAAGGAAGTTTATGCCAATGGAGAGGTTTGGAAGGAGAACTCGGAGTTTATTGAGAGGAGATCGGAGTTGTGGAAGGAGGGTCGCGTGGTGGGTTCTTGCCAAAGGAAAGTTAAGGAGGAGGTAGATGATCACAAGAAGAAGGCTTGTTGTGGTGCCAAGGTTAGGGTGGATGATGAAAGAGAAAACAAGACAAATAGTGATAATACAGGAATAGATCAGTAGAGTTGTGTAACTTGGAAGTTGTTTTCTTGAACCAATTTAATCAATAAGTTTGTTTTGCTTACAGATAGACTCAGATGTAAACTTTTGTATTACTATTGATCTGATCAATAAATTTCTTTTCGGAATCAATTGTTGGTTTTTCAAATATTACTTGGAATTCTTCAATTGTTGCTGTTATGGGTTTGTGGCTATATTATAAAGTTAATGCTATGTAATGCGTATGAAAAAAAGTGATAACAAGCAAAAGAATTTGCAAGATGTGAAAGAAACCAGAGTTTTCATTGCAATAGAGAGGTATAGGATTTACATAGCCGGAAACCATTCAAACTGTCAAAAACATCAGAATCTAGATAAACTGTCAAAAACATCAGAATCTAGATGATACAGTGCAAAAGATTTTGCAAGATGCGAAAGAAACCAGAATTTAAAACTGCAATAGGTTATAAGGTTTTACATAGCCGAAAACCATTCATGATCTAAATACATGTCAAAAACATAAGAAGCCACAAATCTGCAAGCCCTACCAGATCATGATATGCCCATGATCTTTGATACTACTGTCAACAAAAGCCTAGGAAGGAGACGCACAACTTCCACACAAAAAACACTATCAGACTCGAACCATTTCACTGCTCGTTTAGATGCATAGCAGGTGGAAGCAGGGCAACAGCACCCCTGTCAATACTTGAGAATTTCCGGAGAACTCCTTTCATTTTATTTTCTTTAGCAGTCATTTGGAATTGGATTAACATCTTAGCACATTCCCTGCAAAGGTGGAAAAAACAGGATTTGTCAGAAAGATCTAGTCTAAACAACTAGAATGAAAGAAAACTCAAGAGAGAATAACATTACTTGAGCTGTTCTTCTGAGTAGTCTGTGTAGTGCTTGAGTGTATCAGTCCAAACAGGAGTTCTTCCCAAATAATGAAGGGCACCATACACGGAAGCAGCAGCGATTAATGACGGGCAGTATGACACCACTAACTGATACTGCATCAGACCATTTTCTGCCAAGTAAAAGGCCATGTGTTCCATCTGCAAGCAAAAGACACAATTCCTTAAGTATGGCAGCCATAACTAGCCTCATATTCTTAACCATTACGATATTGTTACCCGCCACTTATTATTTCCTGATACATATAATTGCATAATTACCTCTTTATCAGAAGGAACAGTAGCTTTGATGAACCTAACAAGGAAGACATATGGAGTAGCAACTGTGAGATTCCACTCCAATTTCAATAAGATTTCTTTCTCCATTGCTAGTATTTGTTTATGGGTGTATGCATTGTCAGAGATAGACATGAAATCATTCACCTACAAGATAAATCATCAATTAATACCATTAGCATAAGCAATGTACCATTCAGACAGTAAAAATAGATTTTAATTATGAAAGGGCTAAAAAATAGCACCTCAGGTGCCCAAATCTCTTCATATTTGCAGGCTAACAGCATTGAGCTGATGCCTACCAGCTGAAGTTCCTTCCTCGAAACAATCTTTGTGGAAAGATACCTATCCACGAGGTCGATAGTCAGGTAAAGGGTTTCAGGCAGCAGTTCAAACTTGTTATGAACTTCGACCAGCCAATCGATGAGAATCATCCTCATCTTCTCATTGATGTGGGACTGCAGCGGCATATAATCAAAAACTCGATACTCATCTTCTGTAGTCCTGTAGAACTTGTAGATTTCCTCTACATATTCAACTACTGCTAACTCATTATCAGCATCTGCAGCATCAATGTTCATCACCTGCTCTCGAGGCCTCGTTGCAAGCCCACAAGCTGCCTGTAAAATCACCCAATTTTCAGTACTAGAATTGTCAGAAAACATCAGACAGATTTACTGTCAATATGATCAGTTTGATCACCTTGCTTCGCGCAGTAAGGACCGAAGTAAGGCTGTATTTCTTCTTCCTAGAGGTTTTTTTACCACTAAGAACCCTTTTCTTCTTCATCTGCCTTTTGTCATCAGCTTCTTCTTCCTCATCAGAGCTTATTATTATGATCACTGTCTCAGGGTTTGGGTTGTATGTAACCTTCTTCTGAGCTCGCGCCTCGGGTTCTCGTACCTGTTCTTCTTCCTTCATTTTCTTTTCAGCTTCCCCTCCATCAGGTACCAGTGACAAGGCTCCTAAACTCCTGAAACAATTGAACAACAATTAATTTTTTGAAGGGAATTTTTTAAAAAAAATTGAATTTCCAATGCTAATTTAGAAAACTAAAAAAGCAATCAAAAAGTGGGAAATTACTTGATAATAGGAACATTGTGGAAATTAACCATATTTCCAATTTCTTGAAGAGGTTTACGGTTTCCACCATCTTTTTTCTGCTTCTGTTCTTCTGAGTCTCACAAACAAAACAAATTACGGAGTTTAGAAAAACCATTGTTTAGGAATATGAGTGCAAGTGAAAACAATATATAGATCAAGAGAGAGGCCGGAAACACAGTGGGAAAAACCCTCGATATAGGGTTAAAAACCCGAAAACGACAAGCACCAAAAATCTATTAATACCAGAGTACAAACGCTAATCAAAGTACAGAGTATATGCAAAAGACTTCCCTTAGAAGCTTCCAACAAATCTATCCAATTTCTTTAATCTTAATTTCCTAATTGCACAAGAATTCTGATATACCTAGTTTATTTAAATGTAGCCAACAACAAATCGAAGATTATAAGTTAATTAAACAAACATTTATTAATAAATCATGCATAACAATAACATATTAATACAATTAATTCATACTTCGTATATATATCAAGTATATCATATACTTCGAATCTAGAACAAACCCCAACATCATTCATTCATTCATTATGAGACTGACCCAAAATATATCAGAATACTTTATATTAATTTTTTTTATTTCCCTATAATTAATAATTTTTCTTTGAACCATCCAACAATAATACAAATTTCTGGGGAAAAAAAAAATCGGGTCTTTTTTCAGCAAAAACAGAGGAAGTAATTGGTACCCTGTGCCCAGAATACACAAATCATTAAACTGAAATACACAAATCCTTATGAAATTAAAAACGGGAAACAAAATTAAAAATACCCAGAAAACAAATTTCATCAATAAATTTGAAGAATGAAAAATATCAATAACTAAATCCAAGAAAAAAAAAATTAAAAAAAAAAAATCATACCAGGAGCTTTGATGGGAAGATGAGAAGGAAGAACAATTCTGGAATCCATATCTAAAGATTGTCCAAAAACGCCACCAATGCTTGAAAAAAGCGTCGATAAAAACGTATTGAGACGGCTATTATTGCCTGTCTCTCCTTCTTCTTCCTTTTCCCAAGCCACCGTTGAATTTCTCTCTCTAATTCTTTTTCTCTTTCTCTCTCTTAAATTTTGTTGATTAAAATTTCTGCATTTTTCTGCAATTTTTTGGATGATTGAAGAGTTGAGAGAATTTGGTGAAGAAAAAGATGATAATTTGATCGAAAATATTAAAGCTGTTGTTCTGCTTTTTGTGGGGGAAGACTGAAGAGGGAAAACGCTCCAACGGTAAACTTTGTTTGTTTCAAACTACAACCGTTGGATGCGTTTGTGATCTTATCTAACGGTTGGAAAATTTTAAGGTTTAGGAAAAATTGGAACAAAGTTACCGTTTGGAATTTTCTTTCTTTCCTTTTTTTTTCCTCTCAAATTTACATTTCAAAAATTATTAGTACTGTTATGGTATTTGGGTAGATTATTAGGATGTGAACAAGATAAACATGATTTTATACTTTTAAGGCAATGTTAATAATAATTCCATTTCTTCTTCATACAGAGAATAAGGGCATGTTTTCATTGATTGAACCCAGCTGAGCTGAACTGAACTGAGCTAAACTGAACTGAAATGAATATTTTATAAGAGAAGGAAATTAGAAGTTGAACTGAACTGAGCTGAATTGAACTGAACTGAACTGAATTTCAACGTAAGAGAACAAGCCCTAAGGGTACGTACGGACTTTGAATTTTTTTTATTTCACCTTATAAGAAAAATAAATGTTTATGTGAAAAAGCAAATTTTTAGAACATGATTTTATTTTAAAAAAATTTATATACTACCTTCGATTTTTTTTAGTTGCAACTTTGAAATATTTTATATCTCTCAAATAATACCCCAAAATTGCAACTAAAAAAAATCGGAGGTAGTATAGAAGAATTAACATTAATTACATCGATTTGCATGTAATTTTGTCATGAACAACTTAATTTCATTTTAGAAAGGATATTTAATGTTAATATATAATCCTTAAGGCTACATATATCATTACCCTATTGTTAATGAAAATAAATAGTAGAATAAGATAGACATTAAAGGTTACACCCATATTACAGTCATCCTGTACAACTACTTAAGTTACATCCATTTAACAAGAATATAAAAAATTGAACACAATAATCATTGTTCTCTAATTTTATAGGAGTCTCATTTATGCCAATCGTAACAAAACTTGATTACCACCAATCCATACATTCACCTCAAAAACAAGCATAGAGTGTAATGGCACAACCACCATAGATCTATAGTAAAATATAAAGTGAAAGGGAGTTTTCGGGTGATAAGTTTTTCTTTCCCAAAATATCCCTTTTATTTGTTAATCTCTTTATTATAAAAAAAAAATTAAAAAAAATAAATAAATAAAAAACTGTTAAATATGGAATAAAAAATAAAGAGAGATGAGGGAAGATTGTTACGTTGTATTTCATATTCCATCTAGTACGGGATATATATAATGTACATTTCCTAGGGTTCCATCAATGGATAAGACCAAATACCCAACTCTAAAATATTCTAGATTGTACATGGGATAATAGTCATCCATATTTAGATATTATCATAACACTCCCCCTTAGATGACTATATATTGAATAAAACAATAACTAACATTTACTACAAAACCTGTACAAAATAATACACTATAATGCGCATAAGATGTTGCCTCGTTAAAAATCTTACCAGGAAAACCCAGTGGGAAAAAACCATGGTTAAGGAAAAAAGAGTGCAGCGCGCATTAACTCCCCCTCATGACTACATCACTTGAGATCTGTAAGACGACG